ACATTCTATTTCTCCACTGTTTTCTTCACCCACTTCTATTCTCTAACCTCATGACTACCACTACACAGGAGTGGTGCATGGCCTCAGGGATGGGTGACTTCTGGCTCAGTTATTCCGTCATCCAAAGATTTCACAGCCAGGCTAGGTGGATATGAGACATGGGGAGGGCTAGGAAACAGCAAGGGCAATGGAAGTATATAGATGGGAAGGGGAATGAAGGGTGAGAAACTGAGAAATCAAGGGTGCTAGGAGGTCCTTAGAGGTTCTGAGGGGTTGGCTGCATTCTGAGTCTGGGTCTTTGAGGAAAGTGGAAGCCCATCATTAGAAACACCAGGGTTGAGATCTTTCGAGACAGGCTTGTCTGGATGACTGTCCAATAGGGATGTGAGGCTGGGGTCTAACAAATGCCAGGTCCCTTCCAGGGAGACTTCCCTGTCCAGCAGGTGGGAGAGGCCTGTGAGTCACACAGAATCAGCCCAACCACTGGTACCTTCACTTCTAATGTGCAGTCCAAATGTGACGTCTATGAAAGGGAAAATTCAGCTTGGATTTGAGCTGACTTCAACAAGTCATTTCAGCATCTACTGAGAAGCTTGACAGGCTCTGGAGTCATGCAAGAGAGGGCCAGGTGGTGCCACAGACATCTTCAGGGCACCAAGGGACTTGTGGGGCTTTGCCTGAACTAAAGAGAAGCTTGATTTGGGGTTTTCATCTGGATGGAGGCCCAATTCTCATGGCCCAGTACTCTACAAACTCTGCTTAGCATAGGAGTCCTTAGCAAATAAGACCCTTAGATTTAAAGATCATTGAGTTAAAGATGAAATGTCCTCCAGGGAGAGGTGGAGGCAAGTAGGAAGGGGAAGACACCGTGTGTTTTACTTACTGGCAATGCAGTGGATACCGTTTTGGGGATCTGATTGGACACTTTCCATGGGAATCTTTATAACTGAGGGAGGAGGGAACTGGGGCTGGAGAGAAACAGTTGGAAAAACCGATAAACACAACCAATACAACAGCTTTGGCTTTCTTGTTAAGATGGAAATTACACGCATCCACAGTGTGTAAACCACCATCCTCTCCACATCCAGACTGAACACTTCAAGGTGCTGCACAAATGTTAGGACCCCCTGAGGGGGTGTCACAGACAGGGCAGCCCTTCTCCATGAATTAAGAATAATATCAACTGCCATGACAGCCAGTCTCCTGGGAATGAACCTCACACAGTCTCCTGGAATGTGTAAAGATGTATGTGAAATGAACCCATATAAATTCAGTCCTGTTTTTCCATTGACTAACACAATCCAGTGATGCTTTTCCCCAAGCCTGAAATAGTTCCTGGCACATGGTAGCCACTAAAATATTTATTTATTGAATGAATCAATAAAATAATGACTTGTCTTTAAAAAGCACGTAGATTTTCATTTTCTTGGTAAGCAGGACCTGCCTTGGCAAATCCCCTATGGCATACATGTGAATGGATTATGAATCTCTTCTTTCCAAGGAAGAGGGCAGTGATTAGGACCAGGGGAGTTTTGGTCTATGACTACCAACAGAATATGCCCTATTCCAACTAATAGATCAGCAAGGATTTGCTTAAAAATGGCTCTGATCTGCAAAAGGCAAGATTACTAGGTGAAGGTGAGTGTAGGGATGTGGGTTCAGGTTAAGTTAGAAGAATGAGCCAGGTGTGGTATGAGATGGCACAGGCAGCTTAGTGTATTAAGCATGTTCAGACTCGGTCAGCAAAGGTTTTCTTAGTCCCCTCTTAGTGATTTATGTGCCTATCTTGGATGCATCATTTCTCTTGGGGGACGGTTTCATCATCTGTAACAACACTTGAGCTAGGCAATCTTTCTACCCAATCTTTTGTTATTTACTGCAAGTTCTGGATGACTCCCTGAGTATTTAAGGGTGGGGAGGAGAGGAAGCATGCAAAAAGAGAGGAGCAGATGGGGCTTTCAGGTGGCCCCTAGGCATCTGGGGAAAATAGTCATGCTCCTTTCAGTGTTAAATCATGCTTCTCTCCCCAACTCCCTCCTCAACACCCTGAAGGACAGGCCAAGCAAACCTTGTCCCCAGTCTTCTGACATGTCCAGGAGTCCAGTTTACTGATGAGCCCATTTTAAACCCTCCCCTGAGGTCTCCACTTTGTGGTCAGTCCACATCATCTCCGTGATGAAGCAGGTTCCATCTGTGACCTGCACTGCTGTTGATAAAAACTCTGAGCCCAAAGAATGGGAAAGTGGGAGATTGAGGGCCCAGCCCGGGGCTGACCGCCTGAGAAAACACCCCATCCCCAGCCCTGGGGGAACAGGGGAGGGCAAGACTCAATCTCTTCCCTAGTCCCAGGTCTCACATTCTCCCCACCTCCTCATCACTGTCCTCCTGTGCCCCTTTCCTTCTTTTCTTCTTTTTATCTGTCTCCTTTTTCTCCTTCTCTGGGAGGATGTTGTCAATCCAGGCCAGATCATGCTGGGAGAAGACGAGGTCCAGAAGCCTGCGGACGATGATGAGGCCCAGGATCTGTGGTGGGAATTGGAGAAAATCATGGGCTCAGCGCCCCATATTTGGGCGCAGTTTTTTCTCCCTCTCAGTTGTATTCAGGAACTTTTCTTTGGAGCCACCTCAAAGCTCCCCATACCATTACCAACTAACCCCCATCTTGAGTCTTCTCATCTGACTCTCCTCAATTAAGTGACAAGCTGAGTGACAACTTGTCACAGCTGAGGTGAGGGGTCAGGACAGAGGCCTGGGCCAGAGAGCTAACTGTTTAAATGAGTGGTTCCAAACCTTGAACTTGCATCACAAATCACCTGGAGGGCTTGTTAATATACACACTACTGAGTGCCTCCCAGAGTTTCTATTTCAAAGGGTCTGGAGTGCAGCCTGACTCTAAATTCACATCTCTGACAGAGTTTCCCAGAAGATGTTGCTGCTGGTGGTTTGGGGATCACATTTTGAGGTCCACTGTCCCTGTGCCCTCACTTCTGAGAGCTACCAATCTGTCTACTAAAGCTAAAGAAAGTTGGGCCTTCCTGATGACGCAAGGGTTAAAGCACAGCACTATGAAGCTGTCCACAGCCACTGCAGCACGAGTTGGATCATCAGCCAGGGAGCTGACCCACATGATGCAGCAGACCTCTCCTCACCAGCTGTTCCCCTCAGCAGTGTGTTTTAGTCAATCTGCCCATTCTGCTCCCCACTGTCTCACCCCCACACCTTTGGTCTATGCCACAGGTCTTGTATGCATAAGTAATCTTTAAAAAAAAAAATAAAGCCAGAGAAAAGTCTAGAAAACTTGGTGTTCAGGATAAATAAAGGGAAAACATGCTCTTTGGGTAAGATTAAACACTGACCTCTCAATAAACCCAATGAACTCAGGGTGGCTAGTTATAAGCATAGCCTTTTACCAAGAACTGACCATTAAATGAGGTAGAGAGAAAACCATCCAGCTGGATTTAACACTGGACTTGCAGACCCTGCTTCTTGGGAGCAAGGATGTGGATTTGGACAGACTAGTTTTTTAAAACTCCTGGCCCTGAAGACAAATTAGTGGTTGCTAGGGAAAGGGGTCGGGAAAGGTATTGTCTACATAGGAACAGCACGAGGGAATTTTAGGGATAAGGGAATGTTTTGTCTTAGGACTTGGGTGGTGGAATCACTACTCTGTGCGTCTGTCAAAACTCAAAGCCACAGAGTGAATTTTACCAACTGCAAACTTACAGAAGTCAGTGGAGGAGGGTACAGATTCCTAACTATGTCACTCACATGTGCTTCCTGAGCCTCAGCTTCCTCACCTGTAGGAAGGAGGTGCTGGGAGTCCTTTAGGGCTTACATGCCATACCTGCTCATTGCTACTATCAGTGTCTTTTCTTGTCACCTCAACCTTGGGAGGGCATTTTTGGGGGCGGATCCTTTTTCCTTACCACAAATACCAATGCCTGGAGTTTTCCAACAGATCCTGATTTGGGGTGGCTCCCAAGTGGCTCCAGTGAACAGTCAGGATGGAGAACCCTTGGCTTGGAGCCCCCCAGTAGCACACATTGTCAAGTTCTAATTTGCTTGGGCTCCTGGATCCAGCGCCTGCAAGCTTTGGGTCCATCTGGGGCTTGCTCTAAGCATTAGTCCAGGGGCTCAGACCCCCCAGAAGGCCTCCAGACCACTCCCCTCTGGAGGGGTTATCTAGGGGCCAGATACATTTTCATTTATTTGAAATAATTTCAAACTTACACAAAATTTGCAATACTCATCACTCCCACGCACTTTCCCTAACTTTACCAAACGTCATGCTAATGACAATGGACTTTGAAATTCTTAAATTTCTGATTCTATAGACCCCCTTTTCTACCTTCCCCCAATTTATCTTCAAATTCAGTTCTTTTAAATGATCAATTAAACATGGTTAATACAAAAAGTACTTCTGCATTCTGAATTTTGGCTGTGGGGAACTCTGTCTCCTTTTTGAATTTGCCCAACTTATCCATCCCTCTACAGACAGGGAAGGAGGGCAACTTGAATCTTGACTGAACTGCAGTGACCAGGCTGGAAGGCGGTTGGTGGGTTGACTCCGCAGCACTCTCCCCTCCCCCACCATCCAGTCTCACCTCTCCATTTCCCCTGCTTCATTTGGCTGGACTCACAAATGTGTGGGGTGCCTGCCTCTGTGGCCCCAGAAGAGTCAGGCTATCGGTGAGAAGGCAAGGTGAACTTCTCATGGATATCTGCCCGGGGTGAACCCACCCCCATAAAAGGAGGAAGGCTGGCCCCTCCTTACCATGACTGGGAAGATGATGGCAGCCATCGTGGATTTGAGGATCCAGAGCACCGCCAGGCAGAGTATCTGCACCAGGGTGAAGAGGTGGATCCGGCGAAGGGGCACGTGTCGGAGGAAGGCGTGATCCGGCTGGTGCTTGGCAGGCATCAGAAAGAGCTTGCAGCGTTCCCAGAACTAGTAAGAACAGCATCGTGCTCAGTCAGATGATGAGGGGAACCCTGCTGGGTGCTTGGGACTGGAGGCAGGGATGTTATGGTGGGGTCTCATAGAAGAGAAACATGGCTGAGCTGTAAGCATGGACAGAAAGGGAACTGGAGGTGTCTAGGAGAACATATAGCAAGATCTTTGGACAGGAGGACTGGGCCCTGGCTAAGGGCCACAGGCCTGCAGTCAATATTCAAGGCAAAGGCAAAGCATTTGCAACACGCACTACCAAAGACAATCTGTTCTATTAAGTAAAGAAGAAAATAAAATGTTTTCTTCAGCTGGAGGAGATATAGGGATCTGCTCAAACTTAGCCCAATCTAAGTTTGTAATTCAGAGCCTGTTCCCTCATTTGTAAAATGGATATCACAGGAACTTCTTACACAGATTAACTTACATAACACCTATAAGGTGCCCAGTATAGCTATTTTACTTAACACACAGTAAACGGTCATATCATTAGTACCATTATCCTGTCATTGAACCGGGAAAGCAGGCATTTGGGTTTTGGTGACATGAACATCAGTGCTGACTGTCAGGTCAGCCTGGGTAGGGGAAGAGCCTTACAGTCTTACCTGGATGCCATTCAGGGAGGCCACCCCCATGTAGAGAAAGACACCATACAGTACTGGCAGGGGTATGTACTGAAATGAGAGAAAGGGGAGCACTTTGAGTGGGCCTCGCCTGTGGCAGGCTGTCAGCCACCCTCTTCTGAGTGTTGTGTCTGCCAAAGCACAAAGGCAGCACAGCCTGTCTCGGCTTCTCTCAAACAGTTAAGGGCTGGATGCCTGGAGGAACTGAGGATTCAAAAGCAGATCTGAGACCAGAGTGTTAGTGGGGTGGAAGATGAGGGTCATTGGGGCTTTCCTGCCCCCTTCTATAGCCAGATGGCAATCCCAGCGTTCAGCTATTTTCTTAGTCTGGCATTCTTTGGGCACTTTAAAAGTCATGTGGTTTGACTAGAGACACATACCTTTTGTAACTTGGGTAAGGTACATAGAAAGACTCCTGTTTGTTCCTGCCAGACTCTTCCCATCCCCAGCCCCAGCCGTGTTGCTCAGACGTGAGCTGACCTATCTCAGCAAGGAGTATCTGCATCACAGCCAGATTTTAAAAAGTGAAACAGAAGTGTATGAGCTAACACCACGAATAACCAACTAACCACAAATGGTTAATCTTTTCAAATATCACCTGCAGTTTGTTTGCTTTTCAACAGTAGGATCACATCCTTCATTCTGTTCCACAATCATTATGACTTTTTTTTTTTAATATTTAAAGAGCAGGTTTATTAGAAAAGGGGCACTTGCACAGGCACAAGTGGGCAGCAAACCTGAAAGGGGCAGGTTTGCGTGGCTGCAGGTGGGCCGCCTTGAGGAGAGCTGCCCCCGCTGAGGGCAGGGGTGGGAGTGGGGGTGGTGTCCCGTGAAGAGAAGTCCGGGCAGGCACAGGTCACAGGCAGGCATTGGCAGGGGAGGAGAGAGTGGGTGAAAGGAGCACCTGCTGTGATGGTGGGCAGAGGACTGCTGCCTCATTATGACACTTTAGAAGGCTTGGTAAGGGATTTCCCCACTCTCTCTCTAATTGTTCATCCTTCCCTTTATCTGCAGCTGTGGGTCTCCAATACAAACCAGGCTGCTCTACCTTGCTCCCAGATCGGGTTGTCCTGTTGGAATTCTTGGAGAACACAAAGCACTGTGCCCAATTCTTAGACATCATTTAAGGCTGCTAATAAAATATATCAAATAAATCACTTCTCTTTTACAATAAATTAGACTGCTCATTTTTGTAACACAAAGCTTGACTTGGACCCCTATGCTGTAAACCCAACTAAGACATTAGAACTAGGAAAGAAATGTGGGCCATTGCATCATTCCATTTGTACCTGGCTTATGAGACTTTTGTCCAGTTGTGAAAAAAGGTAAAATTTCAATGAATAACTCTATCCAAATCATCTCAAACTAGGGGAACAATTTGAGAGAGAAATAAAACCTTAAAAGATTTAGCTATGGTCTACAATACCAGATTTAAGATGGTTTAGAGCTTCCTTTTGCCGTAATGGGTGTAAAAGCCACATCGCAAGGGAGAATTCAGGTTCAGTGTTAGGAATCTGTAGTTACCAGTGACTGATGATCAAGGTACCTCACTCTCTAGCCTAGGAAACTGTCTCCAGTTGTCATTTGCAGGCTCAAGCAGTTTTTCTCAGCAAATTCCAAAGGCCTATGATATCAGTCTGACTAGTGATGGGCTGTCATCTGTAAATCTCAATTGGCACAAAACTTCCTTGGATCCTCAAGAAAATGACCTTTTTAGGATTTTAATGACACAGTAAAGTGACAAAAGGTGACTTTAGACTCTAGCATCCGTGTTATACCAAGTTTGAGCAGTCAACATGATCACAGTGCCAGAAACATAAAGACACCACAACCTTCCTATGTCATTGGAGGCTGAGCCTATGAGGACAGAGGAGCCAGAGGAGGAGCTTCTGAGACAGTCGGCAGTTCCTCTGAAGCAGAATGCAGAAATGTGTAGTCCTGAAGAGCCATGGTAAGGTTTAATCTGCAGAACTAAGTGTACAAGTCATTTTCCCTCAGTACTTCTCTCATTTGCAAGATACCCAAAGATTTGCAAATTGGTGATGGAAGGACAGAAGATTTTCACTGATCCTCTAACAATAAATACTACTGTTGAATGTTAATGTAACCACTCATTGAGAGAGAGAGTGAGAGGAAAAGAGAAGAGGGAGCAAAGGAAGAAGGAAAAGGAGGAGAAGAAGGACAAGGAGAGAGGGCAAAGGGTGATTTTGTTCCTTGTTGCTCAATATGTGGTTCTATGGACCAGCATCATTGGTACCACCTGCGAGTTAATTATACGTGTAGAATTATGGGTCCTCCTCAGACCTGAGTTATTATCTTCAATTAACAAGATTCCCAGGTGATTTGTGTACACATTAAAATCTGAACTTTGGCATGTGTGGATGAAGTATATACACCTAGCAAGGTGTGAAGCTGTATTCCTGAAATTATATTGCTTTGTAAATGAATGATAAATCAACAAAATTTGATTAAAAACAATTGAGAAAAACTAGAACAGAACCTCTGGGAAAAAGACAGTACAAAATAGCTATAGTTAATACACAACATAGAACATTCATAAAAATAAAACCACTAGTACAGGGATCTGATTTATAACTTCTAAAACCTGTAGAACGAGAGGGCCATCTCTAATTGCTACATAAATAAGATTTAAAGATTCAAACTAAACTCTGGTCTTGGAGAAACAGCTCTCCATGCAAGTTCTCTGTGAGTCTAGGATTCAGCTATGACTAATTTAATAGTCACAAACAAACTTAGAGTGAGAAAAAGTTAATTAAATGAGCTTTATGGAAAAATTTTGATTAAAATGTAAAATAGCAAAAATGAAACCAATTTTAAAGATCTGATTGGCTTTATTAAATGAGTCATAAATTAGGCAACATCCCATTTAGCAAGCAGAAAGGTGCTGTACAAAATGAAAGGTTTTGTAGTAAAAAAGGGGGCAAGATAAGGAAGAGGGAATTATTTCAGGTTAGGTAACCTACCTATGGGGACTAGAAAAAGTCTGGGGGAAGGACAAAGCCTATATAGCAAATTATAACATCTTTTGGAATGGAAAAGATTATCTCTGGTGCAACCCACTAATTTCCTTACTGATTTCTGGGTAAGGCTGAACTGCAGTTAGGTTAGGTATTAAGCCTTGAACCTGTCATTTTCTTTTTTTAACAGAAATAAACCTGGAGCTAAATCTAGGACCTGAGATCTGGACTAAGTTTTATTTTTCTTGAACTGTTTATCCAAATATCTTTTCTTTAACCTAAAATCAATCTATTATTTAGTCCTGGTGTCAATTAGTGATAATGCTTTAATCACTTAACTAACAATTTTGAAAGTCTATACAATCAAATTTATGATCAATAGAAATCTAAATAGGTCTTCTCAGCTATTAAATTTAACAAACAGATTAATTGTTGGTTTAAAATATTACATTTGTCCCATGCTTATTGTAAAAGAACAAGAGCAGACGGGCAGATTTTAAAATCCTTTTTTGATTGAATACAAAGACAACATTAGATCATCTGGAGGATGTGGCCCATGAGACATTCCCCCACATCTGGTATCTTACCCTATTTAGAGGATATAATTTTTGCATAAATTAATGCCAAAAATAGTCTACTACTTGGAAAAGTTACATTTAAGACAAGAATTACAACAGAAGGGAGTTTCCATTATTGCTTAAAATATTTAACATTAAATGTATCATCCAGGAATAAGCAATGTGACTACACACTATTTAGATCACTAAAAGTTTTGACCATGTCAAATCTTATGCACAGAACTATACTCTGGGCATACTATCTAACTATCTATCTTAAGAAATAGACAGTATTCGTGTAAAACTAAACATGTACTCAAATCAGGTAGGTCAAATCTATGAGAGCAAAAGCAGAGAAAACTTACATCAAATAAACATGTCCATAAGATAACTGGTCACATTGTAAATGGAACAAAAGTACAGAGGGCGACAGTACTGAATTTTCTGACTGCTTTATGTTCTACTCAAAATGAAAAGAGCTGCTGTGAAAGAACAAAATCTCTGAACATACACAATACGTCTGGGGGAGCCCGAGGTCTACCTCTCTCATGTGTCCCTGCATCTGCTGTCTGCAAAATGTTTATGGGATATTTTATAGAATGTTCTTAAATTTGAGTTTTTTTTATGCAGATGCTTTTCTGTTAAACAGATTCCAGAGTGATAAACACAAAGATTCTTTGGCTCCCTTTCCACAAATATAAATATTCCCTTGGCCCTTTTAATAAAATGCTTGCCCACCTGTATGCAATCTGATGAAGTGAGATGTTTCCACATCTCTTGAAAAAGATACTCCATTTCCAGCCTCCTGCTCGAATGTGCCTATCACCTACTCTCAAGCCAGATCAACTAACATCATAGTTGTTTAGTCTTTGCTTTTTTACAAGGTCATCCCTTAAACTATTTTGAGATATTCAGGGGAGGGAAACATCTGTAAAAATTTGAGGCAACTACAAGTAAGTTGAATCCAAGAAAGGAAAGTCTTTTATTGGATACTGATTAAGAGACAGAGCCAATGACAGGTGTTAAGGATTAAATTTTATTCCCCCTCCCTCAATCCCAATTCATCTGATGAAATCCTAACCTCAGCATTTCAGAATGTAATTGAATTCAGAGATAGGGCCTTTACAGAGGTATTTAAGGGAAAAGAGACCTGTGGGTAGACTCAGCCTTACGGTGTCCTTATAAGAGAAAGGGCGAGGACAGTGACACACAGAGGAAAGGTCCCATGACGGCCCAGGCTGAAAGTGATCATCAACAAGCCACAGAAAGAGACCTTAGGGCAAACCACACCTGCTGACATTATGATCATGGATGTTACATAGGCCATCTGACCTATGGTACTTTTAAAAAATATTTATTTGTGCATATAAGAGCTAGGGTGTAGGTCAGAGGTGCAGACACTGAGAGGATTCACCAGAGACAGAGTGAGGAGCAGAACAGGCAGACTGACTGAAATACACTGCTGAGGGGAGCAGCAGGTGAGACAGGAGAGGTCTGCTGTGCCATTTGGGTCAGCTTCTTGGCTGGGGATCGCACTCATGCTGCAGTGGCTGCTGATAACTTCATGGTGCTGAGACTTAACGCCCTGTGCCACCAGGGAGGCCAAAGGGTTATGGTATTTTGTAATGCAGCATGAGCAGACTAATGTAAAAGATGAGTGGCTAGAAATGGAGAGATGGAAAACCTGAGCAGAAAGAGACAGTTTGGGGACACGTGCTGAATATGCTTCCATTCTCCCACCTGGTATGGAGGGACACAAGCAAGAGAAGCTTCAAACTATGTGGGAAAAAGTCACTTATGTACCCAAGACATACAAGACAGAGCAACAGAAAACAGGATGCCTAGAACAGCAATGGAAATCTCCCCATGCTAGTTTCACGCTTCAGAAAAGGTGTGAGCAATGTCTATACTGAGCCTCAAACCACAAGCTGGGAACATAGCCAGCCTGGAAAGTTCCTGCTCTGAACAAGGGTAGAATTTGACAAAACTTTCTGAGGGAGGGGTATCCCCCAGAAGGGTGAGGGTGAGCTCTGAGAGGGGCTGTAAAGAGCAGTGAGGATTGTCTGGAGCTGGTAAAAAGTATTATTCTGCAGTATTACAGGAAACAGTGGTGACAACAGTGAATGTTACTTGACCCAATAGGACCCCTTTTTGAGGCCAGGTAGGGACTCTTTCCCCATGTCTGAGGCTTGACTCTAGCGCTCTCTCAGGTGGACGGGGCCCTGTCAGAGGGTACAGAACCTCACCTTTAGGATGGGAGCCAGGAAGACGGAGATCCCTGTCAGGATGAAGACAATGGTGCCGGTCACTCTCTGTTCCCTGGCAGAGAAGAGGCCATGGTCAGGGTGGACTGTTGGCTGCTCCATGACCATTCCAGCCCTCCAGTCTTCTGTGGGCACCTGAATGTTGAGTCCAAAGCCCTGACCTCTGCCTTGCTGTTCCACTATGGACAGTAAACCTGCTGTTGATACCTAACTGACCCACACATGGGAAGAAATGGAGCCCTGAGTAGGTAGATATGTTTACCTGAGGGCCAGGCACAGGTACAGCCCAGGTGGGAGTCTGAGCTTGGTAGCAGATTGCTCAGGCACAGCTAGCAGGGGCTCAGGGGTCCTTGAGATAACCTTCCCTGACCAGAGAAACCTTGCTCAGTGTAGACTGGGCCATCCAGGTGACCTGGCAGCAGGGAGAAGCTCTTCTGATAGTCACTTGTGAGAATGCTGAAGTCTGCTCTGGGTCCCTCTAGAGGCCCTAAGAATAGAAGATGTGCTTCCCATACCTGACATGGGGCCAAGAGGAGAGGCAGCAAAAGAACAGAACTGACAGGTCCTGGCCCACAGCCCAGGGAATAGGAGAGGCACTGGGTGGGCTTTTTTTCTTTTTAAAATAGTTTCTTTTTTTTTTTTAACATTTATTTATTTATGCATACAGAACTGGGGTACAGGCCAGAGATGCGGAGGGCGAGAGCATTCACCAGGGACAGAGCGGGGAGCAAACCAGGCAGATCGACAAAGTACACAGCAGGTGGTCAGGGGAGGTCTGCGTGCCATGTGGGTCACCTCTGGGGTGGGGATCAGATTCTCACTGAAGGGGCTGCAGCTCGCTTGCAATGCTGGGCTTTAACTCATTGTGCCACCAGGGAGGGCCTGGTAGGCTTTTTAAAGGAATCTAGATATTAAGTAAGACCTGAACCCACAGGAGGGCTTTGGGGGATGAAGGGAGCAAGGGGTTTTAAAGAAGAAACAAAAGAACAGGCAGGTGCCTGTGGGGCTCCTATATGGCCTGTACAGGTGAGTGTGTCTAGGAGGTGGTGCTGTACGCCTTGGGATCTATTAAGGAAAAATACCATGTGGAACTGAATTTTTCGCCTTCAGGGGGAGGTAAAAAAGACCTGTGGGTAGGTCTCCTGGCCCTGCGCTTCCTGGGCTGTCAGAGCAGAGAATTCATTCTCCCCCCCAAACCCTGCCTCCTCTCCCCCATCCTCACCACTCCTGTTCAGGTGATCCCCAGGCCCAGGCCCCCACCTACCTGACTCCCAGGAACTGGGGTTGCTCCCCGGGGGCGCTGGTCTCTGTCTCCATCTTGAGGCTGTCGATGTGGGCGATGGAGATAACTGTGGCAGCCACGTACCAGGGAAGTCCCATGAAGGAGCACAGGGCCATGAGGATGCCCACCCAGAACAGGTCCAGATGGTAGCCAGCAGCCTTCTGCAGGGGGTGGTGGGAGGGAGAAGCTATCTAGGGAACCTATTCCTAACCAACTGGTGGGTTGTTGGGGAGACAGATATGGAATAGAGTCAAGGGTTCCTGTTGGCCTTTTATAGGGTACACTGAGCGGGGCCATCATCCTGCGATTCCTGCTTACAAATCGCATCGGTGGCTTTGGTTGTCATGTGTCTGAAAGGATCTGCCAGGGACGGGACATGGGTGAGGGAAGAGCACAGTGCTCAGGCTTGGAGAGGTCCTGGATCTGGCCCTCAGGAAGGGGGCTTCCTATCAGTGGCCAACAGTACATCTGAGGCTCCTTAATGAAGGATTCCAGCAGGAATCTAGACCAGACCTAGCATGGTCCATAGTGGGAAGGGATAGAAGGCAGCAGGACTCCCCTCAGATAACAGAGGCAGGGAGGGGAGTTGCAGGAACGGGGAGACCTAATGATGCTCCTCTGCCTCATGGTTCTCAGTCACTTTCCCCTTTTAGCATCTGCTCAGGTTCCCAAGTTCACTGTCAGGAGGTGTCCTCGCACTGAGTAGCCACCCTGGCCCTGCTGGCCTTCTCTGAATCTGGAGGTCACATTTCCACCCACCCCCTTTCCAAAATTTCAGCTTTTGGGTTTTATATTTTGCCTCACAAATGGCCAAGATTCTGAAGGAAGCCCCATCGCCCCCTGCATCTCTCTGAGTTGTTGGGAAGTAAGAGGTGGTACCTGCTCCTAGCACCAACCTTACCCTCAACTTGTTCTCCTTCCGGTTGACTATGACGGCTGTGATCTGCTGGTCCATGAAGATCAGGATGGTCACCAGCAGGGCGGGCAGGATGCTCGCCAGGTACACCCACCATGGGTTCTTTCCGAAGGGGGCCACGAACCAGCCTCGGTCAGGCCGAGTGGGCTGAGCGGAGTAAAGGAGAAGGCCTTTCCTCTCTCCTGGGCCCCAGTGCATGTGCAGTCCCACTCCCCCATGCTCCTGACCCCCCCAATCCCCATTCCCTGATAGGAGCACCTTTCCCTTACAGGCACTGAGATACCTCAACTTTAGAGTAAAGAGACCACAGAAGCAGACATGGGCAGGACATAGTGGCAGTGAAACTAGGGCACTCATTTGTAGCAGCCTCCTGGGGGTTGGTTGGAAAGTGGGGAGGTGAAAGGGTGTTGGGAGACAACTCTCAGATACTGAAACGAGGCCCAACTATCAAGAATAAAGAATTTGATGGGCCCAGTGCCTGATGCTTCTGCATCTCCTTTGAGCCACCTGCCTGGGGAACATTGAGGGGTGGTCTATGAAACATCGAACATCATTTCAGCTTGCATATTGAGAACTGAGGATTATTTATGTAGGAACTGAGCTGAAATTTATCTTTTATTTAAGAAAAAAAATGCACTTTAATCTTCAAGACCACCCTGAGTTTCATGAGTTTTGTTTAAGCTACTAAGAATTCTGAAAGAATATCCTGAAGGCCAAACCCTCAAAGGCAGGAGTCCCTTCTAGAACCTGCCCAGTTTTGGTGGTTGGTGCTTCTTGCACAGTAGCAGGGCACTAAGTGGGCCAAGAGGGGCTTTCTGAAGTAGTGATTCCCTCTTGTTTCAATAGTAGAGAGCAAGAAAACAAGCTCTGAGGAGTAAGGCGTCCTGACTGGCCTTGTGGTTTTGGGCCAGTTATTCTGCTTCTCTACTAGGATTGGATAGATAATAAAATCCAACCCACTGGGATTTGGAGATCACATGAGATGACGCAGTCAGCATTCACCCCAGTGCCCAGCAAAGGGGATGTGTGCACATTTGTGACCAGCACTCCTGCTCTCTTCCTTTGCATCAACACCACCCTCCAGCAGTCTTAGCTGGCCATACCTGAGTTCACTGCACTGCTTCAGGCACTAGATAAGAACAGCCTCGAGAATCCGGTCTTTCTTGATGCCCTGTGCCTGCCTGGGGAGCTGGCTTGCCCAGAACCCCCATGCAGGGTTGTTCAAATGCAGACCACTAGGCCCCACCCCTAGTTTCTGATCCCATAGTCTGGGGTGGGGGTGAGAATACACAATTCTAACCAGTTCCCAGGGATGACGTGGTGCTGTTCAGGGGACAACAATCAGAATCACTGTTCTAAGGGGTCATTTTCAGCAGACCCCAACTTGGCTAGAGAACTGTAGAGCATCAAGTGGAAACCCAAGGGTACAGCTGGGTTGCATGTGGATTCACCTACATCCTGGCTACACAGCAGGATTTCATGTGACTATGTCCCCACCCCACTGTTGCAAAGGACTGTCCCCTGGGTGAGGAAGGGTGGAGCACTCAGAGAGAACCCATATGGTCACTCAGCTGAGAGGAGATGAAAAGTCTTATCAGTGTGGAAGGGGAGGGCTCTCAGCTGGTGATGGGGAGCTAATGCCCAGAGCAAACCTTGATGACACTGGGCACGTGTAGCTTGGGGGTTTCCAGGCCAAAACAGGCATCAATTCCACAGAACAGCAGGATGGAGAAGACAATGGAGAAGTCAGCTACCAGGGCCCGGACCTGCAGAAAATGAGCAAGTGAGTGAAGTGCCCGCCTGGGACTCAGTTCCCAGGCAGGGAGGAGAATGGAGAGCCTGGCTCTGACTCTACCCTTGCTAGCTATGCAATCTTGGGAAATACATCATCTCTTGGAAGCTCAGTGTCCACCTCTGTAAGACAGAGATAACAACAGTACCTTCTTCATAGGCACAAAGTAAGCTACGGCACTAGGAGTGCCTGACCTGCATTAATCAAAGTGGGAACTGTTATTGGCCACCAAGCAGGCAGATGAGGAAGAAGACATTTTCTGGTCTGACAGACTGAACTAGGTAATCAATCATTTGGGGTGACGGTGGGGCTAACCTCCCCAAAAATGTACAAGGACTGTTACACTGCTACCTGGCGGGGAGGGAGGTCCCCAGCTGCGCTGGCAACCTGAGGCTCCTCTCCACCTTCTGTCTGCTGATAGCCTTTGTCTCTTGTTTCTGTTTTCAGGGAACCCATGCTTGGCCAGGTTCTGAACCTCAGAAGTTCCTTACCCTCTGCCCTTCAACACCAACATCTATCCTGCCATATCTCTTCAGAAATAGAAATTTTCAGAAACTAGAAGAAGTTTCCTTTCTCTAGAAAACTAGAGAAGGGAAGGAAGTTAGGAAGGGCAGGGACATGTGACATCACATAGAATTCCTTCCCTTATCCTCTATACCCCTTTAAAATTGTTATTAAAATAACAAGCAGGGCCCTTCCTGGTGGGGCAGCGGGTTAAACAGCAGCACTATAAAGCCATCCACAGCCACTGCAGCATGAGTTCAATCCCCAGGCAGGGAGCTGACCTACATGGCCCAGAAGACCTCTCCTGTCCCACCTGCTGCTCCCTCAGCAGTGTATTTCAGTACATCTGCCGGTTTTGCTCCCCCTTGGCTCTGGTGAATTCTCTCACCACCCACAACCCCAGCAGTTTTGGTCGACACCCCAGCTCTTGTATATGTAAATAAATCTTTTTTTAAAAAGTGCTGGAACAACTGGCTATCTATGTAAAAAACAAGGAGACACTTTCACATTACATGACAAGAGCAATTCTGTAGATTGTAGATCCAACATGAAAGGAAAATCAATGATGTTTTAAAAAGGTAACAGGAGATCTTCTATGCAGTATTTTCCTTGACAAAAAGTTGACACAATTGGTTACAGTAGAAACAAAGGATTTCTATTAATCAAAAGCTACCATTAAGAAGCCAGTCACAGAGCAGGAGATATCTGCAACACATGGTCACAAAGAGATTTCTATTCAGAACATATTATAAACTGCACTGAGATATGACTGCACAGGAAGACTAAAGACAAAAGTCTAACAAAGCCAAGTGCTGTGAAGGGGCACTTGGCAAGAAGAGGATCTAGTTCACATTCCAAGTCTGTGCTCTGAACTTGAAGAACCTCAGTGATCCAGAGCTCACTTGTGCATTCTATTAATGTGGCTCCCAGAAGGCTCCTGGGGGCTTGGAGAACCTGGCTGTAGGCCATCCTTTAACTTCAGGGTGAGCTTACCTTGGTAGGGAAATAACGGCTGAATTTGAACTTCTTCAGGGTCAAGGTCATAGAGTATGTCCCGAAGAAAAGGATGAAGGACATGAGTGCCAAATCTGGGATGAATTGGCAGGAATTCCCAAGCAGGCGGCCACCGTAGTTCAGACACTCCTTCTTGCTCAGCAGGGACCAGTCCAGTGCTGTGAGGTTAAGGGGGTTGTACTTGGAGACCAAGCACACGAGAGAAAGGGTCAGGGTCTTCCCGGTGGGTTCGCTGTGTCCTCCCCACTGCAGTGCCTGGCAGCCCCGCAACCCATCTGCCCCACGTGGCCAACAGGGTGACATTCTCAGGACAGGCTGCTTCAAGGAATGAAGACTTCCTGGGAAGATCAAGAGCCAAACACACATTTCTTCACTGCATCCTAGGATGCAATGCTTTGTAGGGAGGAGGAAAGGGTGCAGCCTGTGAAGCCCTTTCCCTCAGCAGGCCTGGCTCCCACATAAGTCAACCAACCACCGTGCAGTGCCTCCTTCCCAGAGCATCTCACGTTTGATCTCCCCCATGCAGACCCTTTCATATATTGGGCCTCACACCACACCCTTGCCAGACCTCTCTTGGGTCATCTCTTTAATCACTTCCCCTCTGGGTCCAGCAGATGCTTAAAATCCAGGGCACACCAACCAGTAATATAAAAATATATTCGTATATATGTTCCTAAGTATATGCATACATATACACATGTATGCATATACATATATGTTTCAGAGTATGATAAAAGCAAAGCAATTTATAATAAAACTTAATATATATTTTAAAACAATGTTAAATGTTCAGGCACTTATGTAATGGCGTGATCAGATGCTTGTAATTAGCTCTAATGAATGCAAAAAGAGAGGTATGGTAATTTGCTATCATAATGGTTTCCAGGGGATCCAGCCCTCTGTGTCCACACTCCTTTGCAATGTGACGTTGATGGTCATCCCCTCAAAAGGTGAAGTTTAGTTCTCCACTGCTCCTTTGATTCTGGGCTGGTTCTGGGAAGAATGAATGAGGAGGAACTTCCTTTGTTCAGGTTCTGAGCTAACCCCCAAGAGAACCTGGGGCTTCTGTTCTTCCCCTCATGGAACCCTGAAATCACAGAGCTACTAAAAAAACTCAGGATTGAAAAACCATGTGCAGAGAGAGCGGTCCAACCACCTACAGAATGCTGGGACATCTGCCAATCACTGAGGACTGAGGATGCCCCTGCAGGGCAGCGTGCCCCCGTGCCCCGCTGGCTGGCCCAAAGGCTCTCCTAGCTCTTCTCTTGCATTTTCTGGGGCTGTGCCCCGCTCCTGCCATCTCAGCTACACAGGGACCCTCAGCTGTCCTGAGCACCCTTCTGTCTATGTGAATCCCTGGGCCTGGAATGTGCTTCTCTTCCTGGCACCAGCCCCCTCAACCCTGAAAACCAGATCACATTCCACTCTCTCTCTGAGCCTTCCCTTGGCCTTTATAACTTGCCCAGTGCCTCCCACTTCTGCTTCTGCAGCAGGGAGGACACACTGGGCCTCTGTTTGGTGCACGTCATGCTCTGTTTGTGCCGTTCTTTCCAAAAGTATACTGCATGTGTGAGGGCAGGGACCGTGACCTTCTACCTTTCACAGTGCACACTGCGCCTGGCACATGAATGTTCAGAAACAGGCACTAACTTGTGCCATTCACCCTCCTGAAAAATCAAGATACTTGAAAAAGTCTTAGGTTAAATGGCCACTGAGCAGGCCATGGAGGTGCAGGGGTAACTACAGGAGCAAGCTTAGAGACACTAACAGTCCCCAAACCTCCCCTCCCCTAAGGTCTACCAGGGGCTCCCCTTTACCTGGTTTTGAACTTCTTACCCTGCGGGACATCGCTAATCATTACTGGAAAAAGCACCCCAGTCTTGGGCCCCAAGGAATCAGGAGTACAAAGATAGATGAGATTCTGAGAGGGGAGCATTAGTAAACTTTGTGTGTCTGGGGTGGCATGTTAGGTGGGAATTGGTATTCTAGGTAGAAAAGCAAGGAAGAAGGGAGAAAGACAAATGAGAACCTTTGTTTAAGCTTTGTGTATTCCTACCTGCCCCTCCTTAAGTCTACCTCCCCTTCATGTGTGTGATATTTAGGTGCATGGTTTTAATAGAATGAGGCATGTTTTTCATGGGATTCTGCAGTATATACTTAAAATAAAAGGATGCCTAACCCAGCCTGGCGGGTGATCCTGACAAGCAGCTCGTGTTGATCTCTGCAAGTCTGGGTCCTAAGATGGTCTGCGTCCCAACTCTGCCCACTCTCCTGCAAATCAAAGTCCTCCAATGCCTGACACAAGAAGAAAGGACTTACCAGAGACGTATTGGTGTTTTGTGTCAGCAGAGCTGAAGCATTGAACATGGTTGTATTTACTGTAGACAAGCAGAGCACATGGGGAAGGGTCAGTACTTGTGGGGTCAGGAACTTGAGCCCCTTCCCCATCTCCTTCCCATTCCTCGGTGCCAAGGGTTGGCTTCCATTGTGAGGGGAACTCAGCACCTCCTCGCCCTTGTCACTGCCCTTTCTGCCCAGGAAGATAGAGGTGGGGAAGGGAGACTGGGCTATAATTCTGACAGACCAGCTGGGCCTGGCTAGGACATTTTTGATAAATCAAGTAAGGAATCTGTTGCTAAGAAATGGTACAATCGCCAGCTGGTAAATAAAGTACCCTGTGAATCCCCACCAGGCACGGGCCCATGTCTATGTTTTTGGACTTGAAAAATATGTTCAAATAACTTACTCTATGCCATATATTTTGCTAAATCCTAACACACACTGTGGGTCCCTATGAGCTGGCTACTAGCTGGCCACTCATGGGCAACTATGACCAATTTGCTATCTGCAGAGCATTCCTTGACAACCTCCAGATTATTGTGCATATCCGGAGGCAGGTGCTGGTGAACTGATTACAGGACTGTCTCCATGGTGGTCTGTTATCACAGGCATAACAGCCTGTGATAATATTAAGTACTTTACTGAAGCAGCTGGGGTCGTAATGTCCTCTTACCTGTCCCTCATAAAACTTCATCTCCCATTCCTCTCCCACTCTCTGGACTTTATTCCTCATACCACTGTCTCATGATCAGCTTTTACTCGCCTGTATGCTTTCAATAGATGGCACAAGAACTTCTGCGCAAGCAGCAGAGTCTTGCCTTGCAAACCTGCTGCATGACTGCTGTGTCCCTCATCTCATTCCCACCACAGAGTGGCAACAAAGTTCCTATGGCAACAACACATTATTGTTCAGTTTCTAAATCTCCAATTTTGAGAACTGAGAAGACTCCCAATTTAAAACATGAGTGACTGAGGCCCAGAGAAGTTCAGTAATCTGCCATCGCTCAAGGTCACACAGCTCTACTTAGAGCCATGATCCACAGTAGACAGTGTTTCCCAGAGCCTACACAGCCCCCAAGCTGTACACAGCCAGCACCCCTCCTCTACCCTGCTCCATACATACTTCCTTGCCCTCCCATTCTGTCTCTCTCTATATATATTTAGGTCAACTTAGGCCTGTAAGCATTTGTTGGTTATCTTCCCTAGTCTGCCCCTGAATGCAAAAAGAGGAAAATGAAACCGAGGGCCAGGACCTGAAGGAGAATCAGGAACCCAAAGGAGCTGCTTTCAGCAGTTCATTCTGCACACAATGTCTGGCACTCCCCAACCCGCTACCCCTAATTTTAAGTGGCCCATGTGAAGGCTCTTTAGGAGCCAGGAAAAGAATGGGGGTAACTGTTAGCCCCTTCCTGGGGGTGTCGGAGGGCTGTCCTCTCTTGTTTTTACACTGAATGAGAGGTACAGAAAGACTAGGTTCTCCTTTTCTTCCTCCTCTAAGTGATGGCCAAATAAGTAGATCTGTGGAGAGGGCTTGGCAAGGGAGAGAGAAGCCAGTTTGCTAGTTAAGTCTGAAATGCATTGCAAGCTCCATCTGGTTCCTGTCCATGATAGCTGAGGGATCCAGAGGGGCGAGAACTTCCTTCAACCTCCAACAAACTGTCATAGGCTGGATGAGACATGGTGCCCTTCCATGTTGCCAGCGTGCGGAGTGGCTAAGGAATTCAAGGCAGAATATTCCTAGGCCTGCAAATACAATAGGCTTGTTACAATTATTTTATAATAAGTAATGCTATTCAGCATTACCTAGTAGCAGCCAGAAGCATCTGCCTCTCCTCACAGCACAGAACTAATGACAGAGCAGAGAATGTGTGACAAGGTGACGGTGAGCTACCCACACAGTGCTAGAGGACTCCCAGCTAATGCCCGAGCTGGCAAGTTGAGACACCTTTCCCTTGCCCAAGGTTGTCAGACCAGACATTTCTTTGATGTCTTCCACTTAGGCTTAGTCATCCTTTGTAGGGTTTATATGAAAGCCATGTGAGATGAAGAAAGAATATAAGATGGAAAACTCCAGATAAACTCCAAGTATCAACTACTTTAAAATTCTAGTGTTTACAAAGTGATACTCACTTGGGATTGAAAGCAGCCAAACCAGTGTGTGCAGCATCCATAAACAGAATACAAACCAGTTACAATGGAAACAGACTAAATTTTAAAAAGGGGGTCCCCCACAATGCTCTAATGATGAAACATGACAAAGAGTGATAATGTTCTATGGTCAGAGTGGGTTTTGCAGTAAAGCCAGGAGTGTGGGACAATTAATGAATAAGTGGCCCATGGACTGGGAGAAAACTTCTTCAGTTAGTCTTCAGTTAGTCTGCCCAGTTTCTTATATATCTAGGAATTTCCTTTTATATTCTCCTGATCAACACTAGCCATGATTTGAGATTTATAATGGCTCAGATTACTAATGAGTAGTTCAACAGAGCTGTAGTTCTCAAGTTTAAGCATGTGTCAGAATCGCCTGCTATTATTATTATACATTACCCCTACCTCCAGGATTTCTAATTCCATAGGTGTAGGGCAGTGTCCCAGAATTTTCATTTTCAACAAGTTCTCAGGTGGTGTTGCTGCTGCTGCTCTGGGACCCACACTAAGAACCATGGCACTAGAGGGACCCAAAAGGACAGGTGACATTAGATACCTTGCCAAGACTAGAGAGAATGTTTAGAGGCCGATAGACTCCATTATGTCTCTCATGACTACTTTACATGCTTTTACACCCCTCTTCCTAGGACACCCCTACATTTGGTTTCTCCTGTAGACTGACGATCCCCATTTGGCCCCAGAATTTGGACAGTTGCTGAAAAAGATAAAGATGTGTACTTCCAAAGCCATGTCTGTGTGAACATTTGTGTCAGTGCAATAATTCCACTGTCCAGAAGGCACAGCAGTGAAGGGAGTTCCCTGAATGGGCTAAGCCTACAGAGGCAGGATTTACACCAGGACAGAATGAAATGGGCCTGCAGGAGGGATCTCCTCAATCCTTTGGGCAAGCAATGTGTTAGCATCACCTGTCACTGGATTTTAATGGAGCAACTCAAAATTGATGAGCAGAAAAGAAAAAAAAACATTGTCTAGAAAATTTACAAAATCAGTGCAGTGACAGGAGAGAGGGTATAACTAAAACCATAGTTCTGGAGGGCAAAGAATCTTTATCTTCCACAAGCTCTAGTTTAAAGTACACAATTATTGTGTAACCAATATTTATGATTGACTTATGCCCAACTTTTTATCAATAATAGGTAGCTAGGGGCTGACTATCACAACACCTGATTTCTGACTTCCATTAACTATGTTAAATTCCAACCCAATATAGGGATATCTTTGAAGACCTCACCAGAGTTCAGTGAGAACAGCAGGACCAGCACTGGTATGTCTCTTTTCCTCACAGGGAAAGTGAGGTTCAATATGACCTTAGATGGTCTCTGGACTGTAGTTTGCTTTCTCTGAGTGCTCAGACATGCAATGAATCTGTGGCCCCTGCTCTGTAGTGTCTTGGGCATCCAAAGCATATCCCACTGACGGTCCTTGGGGATGTGATTATGACTATGAAGAATACCAGGGGTTTGGACTATGTATAAACCCTAACTTTACAGATGCCAATTCTTTGGTCAGTAAGGTACTCCACAAGAATGACTCTGAGTATTTTCAGGTCAATCAGTTGGCTGATTTAGTCTCTCATTCACTGCAGGGATCTTTTTTTAAACACTCCTGGCAGATTCAAGTAGTGTTCAAGTAACTTGTTACCACCTAAAGGGGTCAGTGTCTCCCACTGTGTTGTCTCACCCCATTATAAGTTCTCTGGATTCAGCCAGCATCTGGTTTTCCATAGCCTCTGTGCCTCAGTCCTTGTTCATGTCCTGTAGGTCTATCTATCTGGTGAATGTGGGCCCCATGTGACATAATCCTCCCCTCACCCCTCTCTAGACTGAATAACCCTAGCTTCTCCAACTCTACTTCAAATGATGTGGTTGCCAGGCCCTCCTCCCACCCTGAGCAGCATCCATCCTGAATATGTCTCCATCTACAGAGATGTTCATCCCTCTGAAGTGATCTCACCGTGAAATGCATATGTCAGCAATGTGTCAGGGAGAGCTCATGGTATCATGGAGCTGGCAAAGACTCTAGGCCCCACCAGGTCTATCTCTGACTTGAAGCAGGAAAGCCCGGGGAGCAATCCTGACAAGTGTGATGTCTACAAACACACCCACACTGAGAAAAAGCCTGCCTTTTTCCTTTACTGGGGTATCCCTGCTCCCTCCTGGGGCTCTGGAATTGTGATTCTTATTAGAACCACTTTCCCTTTGGTTTCTTCCTTCCTTTAAGGCCCTGCATTTGCTCTTTTGGGACAGATAATTGTGACTGAGTGGCCCCTCCCATGAGGCTTACTCGCCAGGATTTGAGTAACAAGCTATGGGGAGAGTAGGTGGGTGGGTGGGAGCCTAGGGCATCTCTAGGGTTACCGGTCACCTGTGTCAGGGGCGACACACTCGCATTTGTAGGCGGTGATGGAATCAGGCTTAAAGTCCATGTTGATGGGGTAGTACTTGAAGGCACCAATCATCTTCTTGATGGCATCGTAGATAAAGATGAAGCTGATGAGGGTAGAGAAGCCCTCCTCGGTGAAGCGGGTGACATACTTGATGATAAAGCTGGCATCTGTGGCCACCAGGATAAGGCACTGGATGGCTGAGTGCAGGCCAATCCAGAGGCGGAACTCCATGTAGTCCAGGCCATTGCCTCTGGAAGGCAGAGAAGAGGTGGCCTCCAGCCCAGTGTTTTTGACTGTGCTTGACTTCCTAGACCCACCCAGAGTAGCTAGCTCATTTGTCCCTCCTGTGACACAGATGCCCTCCTAGAAACTATAAGAGGACTGGAGATAGCAACAATTCCTGGGAAGGCTTGTCTAGTCTATGAGAATTATGGGAAAGTGTCTCATGTGGAAGGTACTAAGACATTTCAGTTCTCATCCATTTGGTAACAAGCACCCAGGATAAGTGAAAAGTAAGGGATTCTAGAATAAAAGAGTTGGATAGGCCTTAAAGGCCTCATGTTGCAGATAAAATAGAGCCTGTTGCTGTCTGTGCCAGGGAGTAGCTTCTAACCTCCAGCTCAAGGCTTCTCACACACTGCACTGTTTTGTAAATCATAACTGCTCACAATAGAGCAGTGTAAATGCTCTTCTCTTGCCCTGCCTGGGTCAGAAGGGACCACCTGGTAGTCCTTCCCATTGGTAAAGTCAGACTTGGGACCTTCTCACCCTCACTTCTTGTTTGGGACTATTCCCCTGTCCTAATCTTAGCAGACTGTGCCATGTGTGAAAGCAGGTTTGGGGGCTCCAAGGGGCACCTACTTGCTGAAGTCAAAGAGGAGCTTCTCAAAGATGAGGATGGGCCCTGTGCTGCTGAGGATGATGAGAGGCTGTCCCGAGAAGAGGCAGAACAAGGAGCCAGCCATGGCAGTGCCCAGGAAGCTCTCCATCACTCCCTGGGGGCATGAGTGGTGTGAGAATCAGTGAAGGCAAGAAAAGGGTGCTCCTGGCCCCTTTCTGGAGCTAGTTATCTCACCACAAGCCTAGGTCATTGTCCTACCTTTTATTCTGGGCCCTTTTCTTCTCTAAATTCTGCCCCCTATCTTCTACTCCACAACCTCTCCCCTCATAACTGTATCACTTCTCTAATTCCACTTGGTTAAAGGTTCTGTGACTTCTTTCTGGCATCCTTGGGCCTAGAAAATAGGGCTGCTGATGGACATGCTTATCTCAGTCTACTTGTAGAGGCAGTCCATTCATCCATCCAGTCACTTAGTCATTCAAACTTCGATTAGGTTTTAGAGGTCAGAACATTCATTCAGTCGAAAGCCATTAAGGCCTCCTATATACCAGTCTCTGTGTTAGTAGTAGGGACCTATTAGTCAACAATAGAATGTATCTTCACTCCAGTGGGAGATACAGACAAGTAACTAGGCAATTTTTATTTGACAGAGTGCCTAAACTTTGGCACCACTGACATTCAGGCTAGATAATACCTACTGTACCTATAATGCCTGCATATAGACTGCCCAGATTTCACAGATGTTCATGGTAAGCATCCCTCCATTTTGCTGTAGGATATCCTGTGTATGGTAGGATGTGCAGCAGCATCTCTTACCTCTACCTACCAGGTGTCAGTAGCACCCATTCCTCCCAGTTACAACAGTCTCTAGATATTACCTAGTGTTTCCTGGGGTAAAAGACATCTCCTGTGGAGAACTGCCAAAGAGTGTGAGAAGTTTGAGTAAGGTCAGGGTGCCAGAGAATCACCCAGTACGAGTGAGGGGTAGTGAGAATTGGCCTCCAGGGAACTAGCTACAGGAAAGCTGAGACCCAAAAATTGAGCAGGGAATTGATTAGGAGACTAAGGTAAGTGGAGTGATGAGGGTATCCCACGAAGCAGGAACAGTGTTGAAGCTGACAGGAAGTATGTTTTTAAAGAACAGAAAGATGGTTAGGATTGATAGAAAACAAAGCAAAATAAGTGAAGAGAAAGGGAATATTAGGAGATAAGGCTTCAGAGGCAAATAGAGCTTGTCTTGAAGGCCTATTTGGAATTGGAATTTGTGAGTCAAAGTTGATGGGCGAATTGCTGGATGACCATGGTGTCATCTGCTATGTTTGGGAAGTAATGGGAAGAGAGGGAAGGAATAGGCGCAGTGTCGGTCCTTTACCGTGGGGCTCGCAGGGCAGGTGAGTGGATGCAACTAGGAAGCAAGCACTTCTGGATACTGGACCTGCAGTGCAGGGGAGTGGTATAAGCTGGGGAGAGGCGCTCACCTTTATTTATCTAAGGAACTGGGTCTCCACCGTAGTGCTCTGAGCTTCTAAAGGTTCTACCCTGGAAATAGCCTGGGAGAAGACCCTGGCCTTGCCTGGATCTCGGTGTAATGACTGTTTTTCCCAGGGAACCTATGTTGTTGTCATGGTTAACAATTTACCATCTTTCTACAAAGTATCTTAGCTCCAAGTTAAGAATTAAGGTTGATTTTTAAAAAATTAAGTGTACGGAGATGGGGGTGGGGGGAAAGGCTACAATTAGCAACTCAAGCATCAATGGGAAATACAGTATGTAACAAAGTACATGATTCCCCTTTAAACTGAGATCTATTTATACCATCCCTTAATTTGGTCTTTAGTTACACCATATGGCTCTAGATCTTTTAGTAAAGTTGGCTTGTTATTATTTTTTGAGGGGTAAAAGGTTACTAAAAGTGATGGGCTGAACCTTGATGACAGGTGAAACTGAAACTTCAGTTTGAATTTCAAACCTTGGATTATGGGATGAAGCTCTTTACTGCCGCTCATGCAGCAGATTTTACTCACAGTTGCACTCACATCTGCAGCCTATGCCGTATGTCCACATACCTGGTAATTTTCAGTGGCATCCCCCAGAAGCCCACCAAAGGTGATTGCGTTGGTGATGCAGCCGAGGTAGATGAATAGGATGGCAGAAATGGACTGAATGTGGAAGCCGTCGTAGAAGTCACTTGGGAACCAGGGCAGCTTCCTTTTGACATCCAGACACAGGCCACCGAAGAACCTGCTTGAGACAGTGGCTGCTTTCTCTCCACAACCAGTACCAGGGTAGGGCTATTTACAAAAGCCTGTAGACTCTTGGCCAAGGAAGGAAATGTTACTCAAAGTGGATGGAGACAAGGATCTTTCCAGGAGAACATTTAAGATCAGGCAAGAGTTCTCTCAGGACTGATAATAATGACATGTCATATCATGTACACTAGTTAGGGTAGTCATAGAGAAGCTGGATGGAAGAAGGAAGGCATAATGTCCTAGGGGACATTGTCCATGGGGAATGGAGATCCAGGGTTCACAGATGGCTACCTCTTCAGTTCTCTGATTGCCTACAGGAGACCCCTGATTGGTAAACACCAGGTGTGTCCAACTTTAGAAAACATAGAACTCCCAGATTATAACAGATTCATCCAGGATAAGTTCTGAACTTCATAATTAGTTTCTTTGCCCTCTGGAATGACTAAGTGGGGAATTTTAGGTTCAATGTCAGTGATTACTGGGTATGCTATGCCCCTTAGTTCTTAATGCAGTGCTTGGCATGCAGCAGGATTTCTACCTCAATACTTCTGACACTTTGGACAGGATAGTCTGTTGTTATGGGAGGCCGTCCTGTGTATTGAAGGGTTCTGAGCAGCATCCCCAGCCTCTATCTACTAGTGGCAGCTCCCCTTAAACGAAAATGCTGCTGGACTGTTGCCAATGTCCCTTGGTTCAGAACTAGCGGTAGAAGGGGGTCAAGGGTGTACCCAGTTGAGAACCACTGGCTGGCATATAAACATGCCTTTGTAACAACAGGGTAGTCCCTAGGAAAAGGGGAAGTTCCAGGTTCCCTGCCCCAGCTGAGGAGGAAAAAAAAAGAGAGAGAGAGAAGGAATCTGAAGAGAAAAAAGAAGGAAGCAGGATGGAAAGCCAGAAGGAGCCCTGAGGAAGCCACATGGAGCAGCAAGCATATGATGAAGAAACCGTGCTTGTTTCCTGACCCTGGACTGGTTAAGGCAGACGTGGGTGAGATACCTGTAGGGAGGTGACCATGGCAGTGTTTATATTGATTTTGATTTTGCTCTTTCCTCGCAGACTTGTCTGGCCATTTCTGACCCTTTTTCATGGGTCCTGGCCAGAAGGTGCTTTAGTCTTGTGGCGGGCTTTCAGGCCTTCTGTGTTGTATACTCACTGTATTAAAGCCCCTTTTCATTAAAGTCATGTATGTTTTGTCTTGATGTGGCGGATGGCAGAACCCACTTAGAGCAGGCAGGTGGGGTTCAGTGGTGCCCCTCTCCCTGCCTGTAACACCTTCATTCTCAAAGTCATGAGTTACATGTAGCTTTGCAGGGCCATGTCCTTTCTTAAATTTAGATCAACTTGAGTTAGGCCAGGAGTTGGCAAAGAAACCAAAACCAGGAGAGTTTTCTCATTTTGTTAAAAAACTAAAGAAAAGTTTTTGACTAAGTGACATGACGTGAGTTTGAAAAATTACTCCGAAGGTATTATTATGGGTTGAATTGTGTTCTCCCAAAATATATATGGAAATCCTAACCATCGGTACCCATAAAGGTGTCCTGACTTGTGAAGACCTGTGAAATCAGGTCTTCACAGGTGTGATCAAATTAAGATGAAGTCATTGAGAGGCCCAAGTCTGATATGACTTAGAAGAAAAAGAAAATGCCACATTACGACAGAGACACAGAGAGAGGAGGCTCTGTGACCGCGGAGGCAGAGTCTGGAGTGAGGCAGCTGCAAGCCGAGGCCCACCCAGGACTGCACCACTGAAGAGGCGAGAGAGGATTCTCCCCAGAGTCCTAGAGAGACAATGGTATCGTCTACACCTTGATTTGGAACATCTAGTCTCCAAAAGAGTGGGGGAATAAATTTCTGTTGTTTGAGTAACCTTGTATGTGCTAACTTTGTTATAACTGCCCTAGAAAACTAGCAGGTAACACAGGGTGTCTAGAGAAGGGCCTGGGCTCTTCACTCCTGTGTTGGGCCCTCTTTCCCTCTCCTGAGGACACCCTTTACCCAGACCGAGGAGGGTCTTCGAGGACCCTGACAGGAGCAGTGCAGCCATGAGGCCCTCTGGCCCCAGTGGTCCCTGCAGGTCCCCCATCGTCCCCACAGGGTATGAGAAGGTAAGACAGCTAAAGGACAGTGGCATCATGGTCAGGTCTGGGTGGGCACCTTCCTGTCCAGATAAGCTCTTCCCCAATTTCATGCATGGCTGGCATCTCTCCATCATCTCCGCTGCTCCCTCCGCTGGTGCCGGCCCCTCCGCCACCGCTACCTCCGGCTGCGCTTCCTGCGCTGGCTCCGCCACCTCCTGCCACTGAGCCGTTCACCTGGCCAAGCTCCATCAGGGAGAAGACGGACTTCCTGGGGGGAGAAGGGAGACCGGGCCTGCGGGCTCTGCGTCCTCTCCAGGAGTGTCCCTGGAATACCCCTTAACTTCTTACACAAATCAAGAAATGTCTTAAAACATAGAAAAAGATCTACCTGCGTAGGTCCTGACAATACCCACATACAGATTGCCCAGATTTTATAGATGTTCACATTCAGCATTTTCGCCTTTAATTATTTTTAGAGAAATAAAATGAAGGAAAAGAGTATGAAGGCGGGCATGTCGACATCTTTTAAAGCCACACATACAATAGAAAGGAAGCTGACAGCCACGCAGCTTCTAGGGTCCCATGGTCTCTCCTTTTGCCCCTCCCTCACATGACACAAGCTATGCAACTTCTATCGACTGACAAATTCTGGAGAGAAAAGGAAAAGCTCTGAAAAATCAGAATTTCCACTGCTAACTTATGCTCCGACCTCCCTTTTTTGTATGATCATAATATCAAAATATTCTGAGCAACCATCAGTTTACAACTGGATTGCCTCAGGCGGCTGCCTGGCCCAGGCACGCTGCCCTGGGTGGGAAATTCCTGTGTCTCCTGAGACAAAAGGCAAAGCCCCAGGAGAAATAAGACCCCAGAGCATAACAACTCCTGGGAAGCTTCCTTGGTTTCTTTAAAATAAAAAGCAAATCTCAGCTAAGATTCCCAGGACAGAAGGATTCATGACCAATTTTTAACTGTATTTACACAGGTGTTGCTTAATACACAACTGTACAACTTTCTCTTAATTTACTCCTTTTTAAAACAAGCACTAACTACTCTCTGCTAGCCTTAAATTAGCCATTAGTTTTTCTTTAGACAATCACTGGTAACACTGCTAACACAATTTTTTACTTCCCTAAAACCCCTAATAACCTTTTGCTAACAAGTTCATCCTTTCCCAGACCTCTCTTCCCTTGAGTTATAGCTAAACACCTGTATACATGACAATTACCACAAAAATGTATAATTTAGTATACCATACTGTGTTAAGAAAAAAATGCTTTGTTCCCTTTGACCTTGAGAACATTTATGACAATTTATGGCCATCTCTCATTAACTTACCCTATGCATTATTACAATTAACTACTTGCTACACAGTATAAATAAAGACCTGCTGAGGCAATGAGCAGGGAGATTTGCACCCAACTCTGACTCCCGTGTCTCCTCACACCCGCTCCCTTCTCCCTTTTTGGAATCTCCGCTTGCTGATGCCTTCCCACCTTAGGGCCCTCCCTGTCTCGCCTCCTCGATAGTTGGGGTTGGTCCCCAACACTCACATACGCACCTTTTGTCAGCAGAAGGCACCTTCTTGGGGGGCTCAATTCGGATATTTGGATCCCATTCACCTGGGGGGAGAACAATGACCTCATCCAGAAACTCATCAATTCCTGCGATTAGATCTTCCCGATTTCGGGCTTTGTAGGCCACATCACTGAAAAGCTGGCAGGGCAAGAGGATGAGGAAGAGAAAGGTCAGCTTGTGGGCTGATGCACCCTTGTTATCCACCTCCTGGGAGCACACTGCATATAGTTTCAAAGAAAATCACTTTGAACTACTGACTGCTCCTGTGCCAATCTGCTCTCCATTCTTTTTTTTTTTTTTAAGATTTATTTATTTATGTATACAGAACTGGAGTACAGGCCAGAGGTGCAGGGATGGTGAGCGGATTCACCAGAGACAGAGTGGGAAGCAGAACAGGCCAACTGACAAAATACACTGCTGAGGGGAGCAGCGGGAGGGTCAGGAGAAGTCTGTGTGCCATGTGGGTCAACTCTGGGGCTTGGGGATCGAACTCATGCGAAAGTGGCTTTAGCTTCTTAGTGCTGTGCTTTAACCCGCTGCACCACCAGGGAGGGCCCTCCTTTCCATTTTTGAGATGAGAACAGAGCAGGTGTGACATGGCACGAGGGGAAGCAGCAGCTTTGGGGAAGATACACTCTCCTGGCCCAACAGGCAGATTTCCTCCACACTCTTGCTCCAGGACTTTGGCTGAGTTACTTTCTGTTTTCAGTTTTACGCAGAGCAGTTCATTAGAAAACCTGTGATGGTCATGCTTGTGTTTCAAGTCCTTCTGGCTTTCATCACTCTGGGGGTTTGTGTGAACTCAGCCCTGCCAGCAGGCTGAGTAGTCTCCAGCCCATCTCTTTGATGTCCTCTCCTGCCCTTGAAGACCTTACACCAAGCCTACATCAAATTTCCCTGCCTCCCTGGTCTCCCAAAGGGAAGTGACTAGTTCCTCATGCTCATCATCCTCAGCACCCTGCAGTGGGCCTGGCCCTGGTACACAGCAGGTTCAAAGGTGTCTGTTGTGTAAATGAATAGATGAAACACAGTGCTTGAGGGCAGACCCAGGACATTCAGGAGTATGTCCCCTTCTTGTTCCACTTACATCATCTACCATGAGGGTTGCGATGGCACGGCCAATTTCATTGTAGGATTTTGCTCTCCCAGAAGGTCCCAGCAATATGAACAGAAACCTGCAAAGACGGAGGAGGGTGAGAAGGGAAATTAGAAGCAAGTGAAGACTAGACTTCTCTGGCTTTAAACAGTATCCATTCTTACCTCTATAACTGCCATAAACTTGTCCCTTCCCTCCTCTGGACCCACATTTGCTCTGGAGAGACATTTCCCTTCACTCCTACTAGCTCCCCCTTGAGCACCATGTTTTGGTGTCCTACAGATCACCCAACAGCATCTCCCCTATCTGTTGGCGCCTTTTCAATGATTTTTTTTAAAGACTTATTTTATTTATTTATTCATTGAAGAACTTGGGTGTAGGCCAAAGGTGCAGGGGGTGAGAGGATTCACCAGGGACAGAATGAGTGAGGAGCAGAACAGGCAGATCTACTGAAATACACTGCTGAGGGGCAGCAGGCAAAACAGGTGAGGTCTGCTGTGCCATGTGGGTTGGCTCCCTGGCCGGGGATGGAACTTGTACTGCAATAGCTGATGATAGCTTGACCCCCTGCACCACCAGGGAGGCCCACCTGAATGATCATTTTAAATGAACTCTTAAACACTTCCCTAGGCAGAAGAGTTCCCTCCCTGGCCAATTAATTCCCAAGTTTTCTTTATCCAATAACACATGGACAGTGGGCTATTTGGGGGCTGGTGTGGTGGGCAGATCCCAACAGCTCCCACCTGGTGGGGACGGGCACCTCTGTCACTCCTCCGAGCATGGCTGACTGGATGAGACGCACAAAGGCAATGAAAGGCTGGTCCAGGAAGTCCACCTCGCCCACGAGCACATTAGAGGCTTCTGAGTCCTTGGGGATCTTCTTCATGAATTTGTTTTTCCGCTGGGTGGGGAAAGGGAAAGAGATGCCTGTGGATATTCCCACATAGTAGTTCCAACTCTCATTCCCTTCCCCCTCTCAAACTGCTGTGGAGGTCTAACTAAAAAAAATTCTCCTACTTTCTTAAGACGCCAATAGAAAGAGCCAAACACTCTCCCTTCTTCTGCAGATGAGGCTCATTCTTGGTTAACCCAGAAACAAATTAAGCCTTTGCACAGGCAATAAGACCTCCAAGACAAGGCTTGATGGGTGAAAACTTTACTCAACTGAAGTGTGGGCTAAGTTGACTGGCCATCAGGCCTCACCCCCAGGCTCCTGGAGCCCATGCACTTCAGCTGCCCAGAACCCCCTCCCTGACTTCACCTGGGTGACGAGGGAAGGAGTAAGGCTGTTCTGATTGCCAGGTGGAAAGCTTTGCTTTCTCTTTACCACCAGCTTCCTGGCTGGATCAATCTTGGGACCCTGCTTCCAAGTCTGCAGAAGATTTCTAGGCCCCCAAGTCATTGCCAAGGGAACTCCCCAAAATCTCATCACTTCTCAGAGTTTGTAACTGAGACTACCAAGGTGCCCTCTCTCCAGTCCCTTTGACTAGCGCCTGCTCAGAGCAGGAAGGTCGAATAGGCAGAGCAAATGGGGTCCAGTGTGAGAGGTACTGGAGGCAAACCATCTACCCAATCATATTTACAACTCCATGCATAGGCGGAAGACTCCACTCTTCTCAAGTCCTCTTTTATGATGAAAATGCCCCCAAGGACATCACAGGTGTGCTCTTCTTAGTGCCCCCACTAGGCAGGGGGCAGGCCCAGGGGACAGGAGGAGAAGAGGGGGGTCAAAGGAGTGCCCTGGGGAATGGGGCTTTGAAAACAATTTGGGGCAGTATGCAGCTCAAGAAATACACTTATAATCCAGGAGAGGAGAGGAACTGACACATGACCTTGGCCTGCCTTGAAGGTTGTGATGTGCTTGGTAAGGAGGCTGGGCAATAGCTCCCCAGAAATGGGCCATGCTCGTATTCTGGCCACTCTGGCTTGACCATAAGCCACAGAATTTGGCCAACTGGAGTCTGCTGACCCCCTTCCTGAGCCTCTAGGGACTTTGGTCCAGCTCTGCCAAGTCAGCACCCACAGCCACTCATGCAAACTTCTGTCCCCACAGGAGCCACTGCTACCTGCAAGTACTAAGCAGCCGCTTCACCCATCAATCAGAAGAGCTAGAGCTGGGTGCAAGGTGCTGAGCTCTGATCCCTAAATTAAGGCAGCACTGTCTAGGGAAAGTGATAAGATAGTAAAAGGTTTACTAGGCAATGCTTTCTTGTCATGGCTTTGCTGTCTGTGTGTGTGACCACAGTAAAGTGAGGTTTTCCTCTAAATATGCCAGCATACTCTGCCATGTCCTTCCTAAATTAAGAGGTTTCCAGTCAGACTGCCTGAACAAAATCGTGGCTCTGCCACCTTTCAGCCACATGAACTTAGGCATGTTATTTTATGCTTTAAACCTTTAAGTTCTCATCAATAGAATGGAGATGATAATAGTACCTTGTGATGCTGCACAAAGCACTCTATAGTAACACGCTGCAGTGTATGGACCTCACGTGTTAATTGATGCTATTATTATTGCTATTTTATTATTTAAGCCAAAAGGCTCTTGAGACCCTGACTTGAGGACTTGCTTTTGTTTTGCCTTCTACCACACTTGGCTGCAGGCCCCTAGGCCCCAAGGAGCCCCTACAAAATTTTAGGTTTCTTTCACCCGAGGGCACAGGCAAGGGCAACATGAGGCCTTCTATCAGTGAGGTGCTCAGAGGGCATTGTTCTGGGCTTTCTGGATCTTGGGCCTTAGTACTCGGCCTCACCCTGTCTTTAAGATTCTGATCTCATCAGAATCAGAATTTTTTTTAGGACATAAAATTTGACTTCATCCTGTCCAAGATGAAGAGAAGACATACTCTTGGGCAGTCCAATTAATTTGTTCTCACTGCTGCCCCTACTACTCCTCTGCCAGTTCAAATCCCCATTTTAAAAGCGTTTATGTCATGAAGGACTGTAGGCTGGTCCTCTCTTTCTTACAGATCGCAAGCTTAGGGGTAGCTAGTACCTCCTTGATCATGCTTTTCTGCCTTCCCCCACACCCCCTCCCTCCCAGGGCCTGCACAGATCCCATACCTTGGGCTTCATCAGTAACCTGATGGAATGCGCAGAGCTGCCAAGACAACAGCCCCATCCTGGCCATTCCTGGGGATTCAGCACCATGGGAGTGAATTCTGCCTCTGGGGAAACCCCTAAAACCAAGGTTTCCTCCTCCCTGGCCCTCCACTTCAAGTGCAGGGGTTTTACTACCTGGTCTGTGTTCGGGGTGCGAGAAATATCATTCATGCTTCTGCTCTGGGCATGACCTAGGAGAGAAGGAAAAGAAGGTCCATCAGAGGAAGCCAGGCTCTCACAAGGCCTTTTTCTTTGTTCCCTAAAGAGTTTCTCCCCTCTTTATAAGAAAGCAAGATCCCACTGCTTTCCTTATTCTGCAGCCCCCCTTGAGCTAGCACCCACTCTTTTCTTCCCTTCAAAGGCAGCTTTCTTTAAAAAGTGGCTAGATTCCAGGTTCCACCTCTTCCTTCCCACTGCATCTGGTCTCTGCCCCTCTGTGTCACTTTCTTGAGCAGAACCAAGATATCAGCTGGCTGTGAGCCAGACCGTGATGGTAGAGAAGGCCAGAACCATATTATCAGACATGTGGCAGGTGCCTCAAAACCTGGACTTTGTTGGAGTGAGATCAGTTTCACATACATCCTCCATGACACATGCATCTTTAAAGGTGACAGAGAATTTTGGGTTGGCAAAGGGAAGGAGGCAGGGCTTTCCCTGGGGAGAGTAGTACTGGTGAATTATCTGAGCTACTCAATGGTTCTTTCCTTGACTAAAACAGGACTCATTCCCATCAGCAGCCAAATCCAGTGCACCTGCACAGACCTGCTACTTCCAGACACTCTGGGGCCTGTGGTGTCCCCTTGCTCCAGAGCTCTGCACTCCCTGGCTTCCTTCCATTCACAACTGGGAGTCTCTCCTGCCGGGCACTCCTCAGGGTCTTGTCTCGCCCTCATCCCCTCCAAGATCTCACCAGAAGCCAGTCCATGTTTAGGTAAAAGTTGGGTTCTTCTTGATGAATGTCCTAAGAATTCTAGCTAGATTGGGGGCTTTATCTTCTCTGCCAATGAAAATCGACATTCTACAGCTGCCATGGCCCTGTCACGCAGAGGCAAAGAACACACTCACACAGACGACCATAGTTTGCACTCTGCGGCATCCTCAGGTCCTCAGTGGAGCGGTGTACTGGGCCGGCCCCCGGGCTGCGGGCAGGGCTGCGATCTGGGATGAAGAACAGGGGTTTGGCTTCAGCAGCCTGCCTGGCACACTAGCACAGTATACCTTTCCAGTCATTTCACCTAAACAAAGGCTGTCACACATGTCTCCCAGGAAGAAGGGGTTTTTGACTGTTTTTGAAACAAGTTAATGTTCTCAATACGACTACAAAGAAAATATTGGTACTATTTGAACTAGAGACAGTTGATTAAATAGGCACCAGGTGTTGTAGGCAGTCTGTACACTCCTAATTCTCCCACTTCCTGGGCTGCATGACCTTAGGCAAGTAACTTGACCTCTCTGTGTTTCAGGCACCTCATTTGTGAAATGAGGATGACAAGCACAGTATCTTGTTAGAGGGTTTTTGTGGGAATGAACTGAATTAACTGAATGAACTGAATTAACTCATGTGAAGCATTCAGACAGTGCCTAGAACATGGTGAAGTGCTCAGAATGTATCTATTATTACTATGACATGCTAAGCACTTCACATCTTAAAATACTTCACCTACAGAGATTCCTTAAGATTCTATACAGAAAAGCTTTGTTCTGATTACTTGATTTATCTAACAGGTCAAAAAAGGCTATTGTCTGAGCATCCTGACTCTGGGTTGTGGGTTTGAAGTGTGTGCAAGGGGGACCTCCCTGCTGGCCCAACGGGTTAGAGTGCAGCATTACAACCTAGCTGCAGCAACTTCAGTGTGAGTTCGATCCCCAATCCTGGAGGTGACCCATATGGCGCAATAGACTTCTGACCTGCCTGCTGCTCCCCTCAGCAGTGTACTTCGTAGATCTGCCTATTCTTCTCCCCTCTCTGTCTCTGCCCCTGCACCTCTGGTCTTTACCCCAGCTCTGTGTACATAAATAAACAAATCTTTTTTAAAAAAAGGAAAAAGAAATATGCACATGGTACATTCTCCTCTTCCTAGTGGTTCCATACTCTGCTCATTGGAATAACACCAGCTGCCAGGTATCCAGAGCTTGGCACCTTCTCCCAATTTGATGTACTTTGTTTTCTGCTGAGGCTCTTGGCTCCTGTTGGGGGCTTGGTTGGAAACTTTAAACCTTTCCATAAACAAGTCATCTCTACTAGCATTTTGCAACCCCTGTCTGTATTTGAGACTCTCAGTTGCAGTACACTACTAAGGATGAGAATAACCTCTTCCTAGAAATGGTTCTACTCTGGTGATAGGGACACTGAAGTATAACTGGGGTCCTTGCAGGCATGTCCAAGAAAAAATCTGAAGGATCCCCAGAACCTCAGAATATCTCCAGAATCATAAAGTGCAGGAAGCCTCCAAGTTGCCAGGATATTCCAGCCACTATGGTGTGCTTACCTGGGCACCAGGGTACAATGGTCCCCACATGCCCAGTGCCCCCCAGGTGTGGCTTGACTCACTAGTGGTGGAGGAGACTGACTTTCCAATGTCGACCAAGGAGCGGTGGATGGGTTTCTTGGTTTGATGACGGTGTTTCCTTAGGAGGACATAGCTGACCCTCTCCCGGAGCTCTGGCCGCAGGAGGCCATCCTCAATTTGCTTCTCAATAACATCATCTAAGTGGGAAGCAAACACTGTCAAGCACAGAATGGAGTGGTAGAAGGTGGGGTGGTCATCGTTTCATTTGTCATTGGTGGGATTAAAAGTGGGCTAAGAGTGGTGGGCATGAAGCAATAGCCACAAATTGTGGTAAACTGTACATCACAAGCCCTCAGCCTCCTTAAATGTGTGTATGTGTTGAATTCTCTGCTCTACCCATCAATGACATTGTGAAAGCAGATGAAATAGTACATATGAGAGTAACCCAAGAAGCCCCCAAGCGCTGTGCTAAGTGGTTTAATCTAACATGAATTATTTTTGGAGAAGTATTTTGGGCAAAGTCCTTCTGGCAAAATCAGATGCTCCATAACAAAATTCACGGAAAGCTTTAGGATCAATAAGGCAAATCCATCTCTCCCTTCACAACTCCATTAAATGTGAGCTAATTTCCTGAAGATGAATAATGATCTGTTAACTCTGGCTGAAAAACAGGCTGCCACGATTATAGTGTCTCTAACCACACCAAGAAGCCCCCCCACCCCTGGCTTGTGGGGCACAGAGGCCCCTGACTCACCTATGATCTGTGGCAGGGAGCCACTGTCCAAGTCGAGCAGCACTGTGCCCGTCTGCAGGAAGGTCCGGAGCTCAAAGAGACTGTGCAGGGACAGCGTGGACACGTGGGGCTTGCTCCAGCGTTCACCTCCTTCCTCTACCTTTTCTTCAAATTTTATCCACCTGGAAGGGGTAAGGATGGGGCTCAGCATGGCCAGTGCCCTCAGGAAGAACCCCTATCCGGGTTTCCCCAGGACAGAAATGCTCTGCAAGTCACGCTGTGCAGGTTACTGGGGCATTGGTGCTACACTCTCAGGCAGAGGACCTCTTGGGAACCCCCTCACTCTTTCCCCCACTGCCCAGGATGCTGTAATGTTCAGGTCACAGTGACACCCAGGGATTACTACAAATAAGCAAGAAGGATCTTCTAGGAAATGTTCTTAAAAATACACACTACTTGTAATAATAAAAAAAAAATACACACTACTGTACATTTACCAAAAGTCATTAAAATGCACCACTAAATGAAAGAGCTTTATGGTATTCTATAATAAAACTCCAAGAAAAAAAGTCTGCTCGAATTTGGTCACCAGAATTTGCCTCATGGGATATGGTTTGTGGGGCTAGAGAAAGCATTCCCTGACAAAACATTCTCCCAAGATTCTCTCCAAAGCCAGGGGATTGTACATGTCCCACTCGGGAGTCTGGTTCTCAGAGTTCAGGTTAAAAGTCCTAAATTTCATCTGGGCAAGGAAGAAAGTAAGTCAAAGATATATAGAAATTTATATACATAAATTTCCGCACACATAAGCTGGGATTGAGGGGATCATAAGCAAAGGCACCCGGCAGCTGGACAGAGCAGCACCAGCCTGTACTTCCCTGCAGAGGGCACCACCCACAGCCCAGAGAGCTGCCAGGAGAGAACAGATCCTCCTGGTTGGAGACAAACTAGCTCAGCTTTGTAAAATGTCAACTTCAAATCACTGGTGGCTTTAAGTTATTCCAGTCAAAAGTCCAAGGGAGTACTTTTGGGCCATGTTCTAAAGTTCCACTGAAAAAGTGAAGCTGAGAGTTGTTGGAGAAATTCTAAAGATTTTAGACTTGGAGAAAGTCCAAAAATGAAGAATGGGACAAGCTTTCAACAGATACATAAATTTGCCAAGAAGCTGGAATAATTAAAGCAGTGTGTTCCCAGTCCAGATGTAGACAAAGGAAACAAAGAGACCACAGTCCAGAAAAAGGCCTGGGACCCCCCCTCGGGACTTGGGTTTTGATAGAGGAGCTGGTTAAAAGATGATCAACTGAAACATAAATAGTTAAGTACTTACTTCTCACCAAACTTGATATTAGATTCTATGTGGAGTAAATGTGAATATAAAATACATCTATACTGGAATATAATACAGCCCTAAAAGGAAGGAAATTCTGACATATGCTACAAAATGGGTGAAACTTGAAGATATTATCATAAGTGAAATAAACCATCATAAAAGGACAAGTACCATGTAATTCCACTTACATGAAAAGATTGAATTCATAGAGAGAGAAAGTAGAAGGCATGTTGCCTGCAAATGAGGGGCTGGGTAGTGGAAGTCAGTGTTTAAATGGGACAGAGTTTTAGTTTTGCAAGATGTAAACATTCTGGAGGTGGAGGATGATGGTGATTACACAACTATGTGAATGTTTTTAACTCCATTGCATGCTATTCTTAAAAGTAGTTAAAATGGTAAAGTTTATGAAATATATATTTATTACAATTAAATACATTATAAATCTGTAATTAAAATGTATATCAGAGAATCTAGGGAGTATTCTTATATTCTTGATTGAAAAGCATTTTTATATTCGGAAAAAGGCTTCCTAAGCAAGGTATAAAACCATAAAGGATGCCCTCCCTGGTGGCACAACAGGTTAGGATGCAGCACTGCAAGCTGGCTATAGCTGCTTCAGTGTGAGTTCCATCCTGCCTCAGAGGTGATCCACATGGCACGGCAGACCTCTCCTGTCTCTCCCGCTGCTCCCCTCAGCAGTGTACTTCGTCAATCTGCCTGTTCTGCTCCCCACTCTGTCTCTGGTAAATCCTTTCACCACACCTGCACCTTTGGCCTGTACCCCAGTTCTCTATGCATAAATAAATAAATCTTTAAAAAAAACATAACGGAAAAAAATGAACTGATTTTCTAATATAAAAATAAAATTGGGTAACAAAAATATATTTACATAAAATACTTTGGATAACAAAATAAGACATAAAGAGGAAATTCAGTGGGAGGCAATACACTGCAAAATATTTGCAACAAACAGGACATCAAAAGATTGATATTTATTAACATTCACAAGAAAATCTCAAATTACCCAACTGAACAGGAAAAATTCTAAGGAAAAGAAGATGGCAGTAAACATGAAGAGATGCTCAACTTTACTATTAATCAAGGACTTTTAGATTACCGCCAACGCAACGACAGCATTCATTACGCCTATTGGCATAAGTGGAAAAGACTGGCGGCCTCCTTTGGTGGAAACGCAGAGGGATGAGCACTGCAGCTACCTATGCTGCAGGTGTGTGCACATGCCACTGCACCGTCTTCCTAGTGTGGGGAGCGGGGCTGCTTCTTTCCACATTCAGCAAGCATGTCTTTTGACTAGTGGTCCTATTTCTAGGAAATCAGTACAGGAATAGCATCACATACGTATACTAGGTAATACGTATACCAGGATGACATCTTTTCCAGCTTTGTCCATGACTGAAGAGCTGGAAAACACCAACTATTAGTAGAAGCATGGTTCCACTGACTGTGTGCCCATGCTGTAGATTTACCCGCAGAGGAAAACAGTATGAGGGTGATCTATGTGTACTGGCAGGATGGGTAATGCCATCCCATTTGAAAAATGAAAGATTTTCTCATGTTCAAAAGTATCCAGTAGTTTTGGAGGATATCTGTCAAATGGTTAACAGTGGTGACTGCTGAGGAGAGGGGTGGGTGACCAGTGAGGGAAGATTTCAACAGCTTTCATTCTATTTGGGCTAACCAGTTTAGTAAGGACACAGCCTGTGGAGCACGATGACTAGGTTTTGAACTCCAGCTTCATTATTTACTAGCTGGGAGCTTGGACAAGTTACTTAATCTCTCTTCATCTTTATTTTCTTTAGGAATAAAGATAGTAGATATTCATAGTAACTAGAGCAGTGCCTGGCACATAATACAGTGTATTAGCTATTAATGTAAAAATTGAGAAAAATGCTTTTGCAATACTGGAAATTAGAAAGTGAAGACTCTCCAAGCTCTCCCAACCAGAAGGTTCCATGGTTAATATCTTGATGACAATTATTGCATATTTGTGTGTGCATGAATGTACAGGTATACAAGTGTACACATTTAAATTTATGGCACCATAAGGACATGCTATCAAATGAATGTCCTTTCATGTCTATAAATGTCCACAGATATTCAGATCATTTAAAGGATCCTCAATATTTCACTGTATGAACGTACATTAATTGAACAAACAATCCTCATTTGGCAGACATCTAACTATTTCTGACCATTCACTTGATGAATATCATGCATGAATCAGTGTGAGTCTCTGGTAGTGGGCAGGGGACAGAGACACTAGACTGTCCATGAGTTAACTGGTAACCGTTGAAGTTGGGTGATGGTTATGTGGGGGTTCATTCTAATTCACACTACTTTTGTATAAATTTAAATTCCCCACAATAAAATGCTTAACCTCTAAAAAGCCTCTGACCAAAGCCAGGCTTAAAAATTCACAGAAGCCTGATAAAATGGTTAATGTGTAATCTCTCAAGTAATTCACTGCAAAGTGACCTTTATTCCATGGTTGACTTCAAAGTGTGAAATTAGAGTTGGGGAAACAGGTCAAAGAGAAAAAAAATCTAGCTGGAAAGGGGACTCGCAAGCCACTAGTGGGCGCCAGGTGCCCCTCTGAAGGATGGGAAAGACCTTCAAGAGTGGCATGTCACAAAAAGCAATTCTCTATTACACAAAGAGTGTTCAGAACTGAATCCTTTTCTGTGACTAGTAACTTCACTACAGATATGACTAGAGGAAAGTGCTGTTCAGGCATATGAATTAGCAGCTCTCCACTTAAGCTGCAGTAGGCCATTTGGCAACCCTTAAAAACCCTGACACCCCCAGACTAATTACATAAGAATCTCAGGTCCCTGGAATCAGAGGTCAAGTACTTTTTACAAGGAAAATACAGGCCTTCCAGAAGACAACACAATGAGCAGGCTGTTAAGTTTGGTTAGATAAGAAAATTTGGAAACAATCTATAAACATTGTGATTGGAGCAAAAGATCTATTTATTTTACAGAGCAATAATTGGTTCTTTTGCTTGCAAAAATTCCCTTTAGGATAATTGCAATTTTATAGATTAAAAAGGTAATTTGTAAAATGCAACTTTTAAGGTTAAGAATACATTGCCTATAAACATTTGTTTTAATAATTATAGTTCTGCAAATTTCTTTCTTGGAGAAAGTCAAGCTTATTCAGTAGGAAGTTGTACCCACGCTCTGCAATTCTCTATGTGTGTGGCCCCACTGACTTTATTCTGAAACTCTCTACCCCCACTCACCTCTCACCTGCCACAGACTTGACTTCTGCACATTAGTTACAAAGCATCAAGACAGAGTTTGTGCTTTCTGCCTAAGGTTTATAATAAATTACAGGTTTATTTTTTAAAAGAAATGTGAGTGAGTTTTTCTCCATGACACAGTAAAACTACTTAACTCAACATTGAGTCATATCAACACCCTGAATGTTCTAGCAGAAAACAAGGGTCAATATTGATTCTTTTGAGCCCATAAAGAATTTTCCTAGCAATATCCAAGGAAACATCAAATACTCCCTAGTTTCATTCTTTAAGAAAGGTACCAACAGATGATTTATGGGAGGAAAGTTTTCAAAAGGGGAATCCCTAAGCAAATTCTTGCTCATTCCTACAATTTGGCAAATTTTACAACATAGTGATATATACATTAAAATATATATATACTGGCCCTCCCTGGTGGCGCAGCGGGTTAAAGCACTGCACTAAGAAACTAAGCCACTTCCGCATGAGTTCGATTCCTGCCTGCCCCGGAGGCGACCACATGGCGAGTCAGACCTCTCCTGACCGCCCGCTGCTCCCCTCAGCAGTGTACTTC